TTAACCCTAACTTGTCATCAGTTTTCTGTTGCTGGGTTATGGGAGGGGTGGGTGTGCAGCTGCTTAGCTACTGACTTTAATCTGAAGATTGTGTTATTGTACATCAGAACTTTACAATTAAGATCACATTTGTACTTACTTGAGAATCTGTTCAAATTTGGCTGTGTCATAATAAGCATGATTCAAAAATAATTTTCCTTTTCCGATAAAAGAATTTTGTTCGAATATTTCCATGCTGAGCTTTTTATAAGTGCGCTCACACTCCTCTAGTGAAACTCTCTTGATACCAAGCAGAAATGCAAGAATGGCACCCGTTGATGCACCACAAATAAAGTCAAATAATTGGTAAATCTCCTTGTTGCACAGTTCTTCAATTCTTTTCAAGATCTCAATAGCCATCAAGCCTCTAAAGAGAAATGCACAAACTTGGTTAGCTCAAATTGTGGAGCACCAGACTGACGCATGGGAGACTAAAGGCTTATTAGCCCCAAACCAGATCAACACTCAGGGTCTTAAAATAACTGAGGAGAAAGTGCTGCCTTTGCTATGACTTCTACAAATGGTTAGACATTCTGGTCTTTCGGAATAAGGAAGATAAATCATTGGTCTCATCTCTTGCATCTCCTCTGTACTGGTTAGCAAGAGATGTTAAAGAACCCATGCACTTCTCATAAAGAGTAGTGTGGTCCCAGAGTTCTGGTCTGACCTTGTCACTGTTTACACAGGTTCCCATTTAAACCAGCTTACCATAAATACTCTAATAAGCACCCCCCTCTTTAGAGGAAGAAATTTACTCTCCCCAGCCCCCAATTGAGCTCCCCCCATTCCTTCCCCTCCAAAACTAAAAATTCAAAATAACACTCCATGTCAGTAAGTATAATAAACTCATTTGAGTACTGTAATTTTAGTTTGCCATTTAAAATTGATTATGGTGAGATTGATTGATTGATGTTATCATGTTGGCATCAATAGAATGCGGTATACGGAATAAAAATTTGGTGAAATTAATGAAAAAATGTAAAATGAGAACAATTTTTGAATAAGTACAGTATATCATATCCTATTGTATCCTGGAAGTGAACATTGGGCTAAATTAATGAGCTCCCCCCCTCCAAAGTACTTGAAATAAATAAGCCCCCCCCCC